CCTGTCTCAGCCTCCCCAGTGTTGGGATTACTAAATTAGTCTTTTTTAATGATTTCTGTTAAAAACAAATACAATTTTTCAGCTTTGATTTTTGTTTTGTTTTGTTGAGACAGGGTCTCACTAGGTAGTTCAGGCTGGCCTTGAACTCACTGTGTAGCCCAGGCTTACCTTGAATTCATGGTGATCCTCCTGCCTAAGCCTCCCAAGTGCTCGTATTACAGGTGTGCACCATCACACCCGGCTTGATTTACTATTTTTTTATTAGTGCACATTTGTAATAAGAGTAGTAATGTTTGTTTTGGAGAATTGGTACATGCATATAACATATCTGTATTACTTTCAATCCCTTTACTCCCCTCTCCCTTTTTCCCACTTCACCCAATCCCCTTTCCCATTTCCAAGATGAGAAACTTAATGAATGAATGAATAAAATAAAGGAGAGACGATAGGAAATTAGAAGGTAGACTCTTGGCATATCTCCTTTTACACTTAGCCCACTGAATATGCCCAAGGAGAGTACTACATCCTTCTATATTCTAGCAAGAGACTATAACCCACTAAAATTTCCATCAATAGATAGTTCCTCTACGCAGTGGGAAAAATAATGATCAAGGTCTGTGTATGCTGACATGGAACAGCCTCTAAGCTGTCCTATAAAATGTAAAAATCAAATTGCAAGACAGAGTGTTTAAGAAGAAAAAGCATGTGTGTATTTGTGTGTGTTAGAGAGAGAAAAATGCTGAGCTATGTACATAAGTCAGTAATAGTTAAAGCACTTCCAGAAAGATTTCTAAGAAATTGTAAACAGTAGCTGCCTTGGAGGTGAGAGACAGACTTATTTTTCATTATATACCCTATTATCCTATGTAAAAAAAATTTTTTTTACCATGTGCTTTTAAAGTTTTCAAATAAAAACTAATATTTAGCAACAAAACAAAAGCCAGTATGGTGGAGCAAGACCTGTAATCCTAGCACTCTGGGAAGTTCAGGCAGGAGGATCTCAAGTTCGAGCCTAGCCTGGGCAACTTAGTGAGCACCTGTCTCAAAATAAAAAATAACAACAACTCGATGCAAAGGCCCTGAGTTCAATCCTTGGTACTGAAAAACAGCAACACAACTATGTAGCATGGGCATTTCCCCACATTTAGTATATAATATCACCTTTAGATCTTATTTCCAGGTAGTATTTAAATACTTCACAACTACTTATTTATTCTCCACAACAAACTTCTGACCTAGGAATGATTATTACTCCCATTTCACAGGTGAGGAAACTGAGGCCCCTTGCCCAAAGTCACCCAATCATGAGGTGCCAGAGTGGGATTTGAACCCATGCATTCTGGCTCTGAAGTCCATGCTCTGAACCACTATGGTGATGTCACTTCTGTCACTATTTTTTTTTTTTTTGGTACCGGAGATCGAACTCGGGTCCTTGAGCTTGCAAGGCAAGCGCCGGAACCACTGCGCTAAATCCCTGGCCCAACTTCTGTCACTCTTGTTAATTATAACAAAATGTATTGTATGAAGTGCATGTGTCATGTTTTGCTTAACCACTCCTCTTTTGATAAGCATTCTGGTTGCTTGTAGGATTTTCGATTGCCTAGCTGACTGTAGAAACCATGTGTACTCTTAGGCAAGTATAGCCATAAGTCCTAACAGTAAGACTGCTGCATCATCTAAAACTTGACATTAATTACAAAATCACTTTCCCGTTTCTCCATTTGTCCTCCCTTCATCTATGTATAAGAGTGGGAGAACAGCACAAGAGTCTAGTAACTGAAAAAAGGGAATTTTCATCCATATAGGAAATGATACCAGCAGAAACCATGGCCTGTGTATTTTTTTGAGAATAGAGATTGTCTTACTGAGTTTCTTCTCAGCCTCTCTGTGCAGCCTCTCTTCCTTCTGGTTATAAATCAGGCCCCATCTTGAAGAGGAAGTTATGATCTCCTATCAGATAAAGTAGGTCAGAGAATGTCTTTATGACCACCTCTTATGCAGAAAGGCAGGGAAAGGTCAGAGTAACATTTGCAGGTTCGATGGCCAACTTTGGGCAGGAGGGCTTCAGTTTCTATGATTTTCCTTGGGGAAGAGGACTCTGGTGTCTAACTTGCTTCGAGGGCGAATGACAGGCGAGAAACAGGAGAACAGGAAAAAGGTCAGACAGAACTCACCTCTGAGACTGCTTCTGAGGCCTTCCAATCTCCTGTAATTCAAAGTATTCAACATGGCAAAGCACCATTCTTTGGGGTATCATATTCTAGGCCCTGATACATCCTAACAGTTTATTTTTTTAATGGTGGCAAAGTTGTACATTTATTTTATTTATTTATTTATTTTATGGTACCAGGGATCGAACTCGGGTCCTTGTGCAGCAGGCGGCGAAACCACTGAGCTAAATCCCCGGCCCCGAGTTGTACGTATATTAAAGGTAAGGAAAAAAAGAAGGGTAGGGGAAGGATGGGCTCTACAGAGTGAGTTTGGCCAAGTAAAAAGGGAGGAAAAAATAAAAATACACCATATATTGTAGGGTAGGCTACTGTGAAGAGGTACAATAGCCATGTCCTAACAGTTTAAATAAAAGGGAACATGGGACAGTAATGACACCAAATAACACACTAGGAGTTTTTTCTTTTTTTTTAGTGCTAGGGATTGAACCCAGGCCCTGATCACTTCTTCAGCCCAAAACCAGGATATTTTTGAGAGTGAAAGGTAGTTACAGCTATAAGCCTGATTGACCTCAAGAAAAGTAAGGCTTGGGCCAGGGATTTAGCTCAGTGATTTCGCCACCTGCTGCACAAGCTCAAGGACCCGAGTTCGATCCCCGGTACCAAAAAAAAAAAAAAAAGAAAAGAAGAGTAAGGCTGTTGCCAGGTGTAGTGGCACACATCTATGATCCCAGCACTCAGGAGGCTGAGTCAGGAAGTGAGTTCGAGGCCAGCATGGGCTACATAGTGAATTCAAGTCCAGCCTGAATTACAGGGCAAGACCCTGTCTGAAAAAAAACAAGAAGAAAGAGAAAAAGAAAGAGAAGGAGAAGGAGACATGGTAGTAAAGGTTGCTTTGCCTTAATTCTGTACTTTGGTTGCCTTATTAATTTTTCAAGTCTTGCATCTTGAGCTGGGCATGGTGGCACACACCTGTAATTCCAGCCCTTAGGAGACTGAGGCAGGAGGATTGCCACAAGTTCAAAGCCAGCCTGGACTACATAGTGAGTTCAAGGCCAACCTGAATTACAGAATGAGACCCTGTCTCAAAAACAACAACAAACTTGCAACTTGTCATGTTCAGTTTTCAAAAGAAAAAGGTATTAGAAAATCATGCCACCTCTAAGAAGCACTCAGTTATTTCCTCTTCTGCAAAGTGTTTCTGGACTACCTATTTTCCCATCTTCTGGAGCTCTCTCTCTGTTCTGGGACAGTGACAATGATTCCCAATGCTGGGGAGGAGGGAGGCCGAATTTTAGTCCCCTCTCTCAGGGGACATGTCATGATGTCTGGAGATATTTGGGATTGGCACAGGTAGGTCAGGGTGAGTGCTACTGCTTCTAGTGGGTAGAGCCCTGGGATAGTGTTCAACACCCTAAAGTGCTTAGGAAAGCTTACCCAACAAAGAATCATTAGACCCAAAAGTCATTAGTGCCAAAGATGAGAAACCTGCTATAAGGTACCTTTGTCATGGCACTTCCTAAAGACAACTGTGATTGTCTCCTGGCTGACCTTCCTAGCTACACTGCAAGCTCCATGAAGCAGGTGACACATGTATTTTGTTGAGCGCTTGGCATACAGTTGACACTTAATAAGGATTAAAGGAAGGTAGGAAGCTACATCCAGAATCACATGTACTGGGATCACGCTATTGTTTTCTTGGACTATTTCCCACTTTAACCCTTTGGGCACTATAATCAGCTGATAAACGTTGCACTCATTCATTCATTTCTTTCTTTCTTTCTTTCTTTTTTTTTTAGTTCAGAGTCTCACTGTGGTCCCCAGGCTGGCCTGGAACTTGCGATCCTCCCACCTTAGCCTCGTGGGTAGCTGGGATTACAGATGCGCCACCACGCCAACTTCATTCAACATTTAAATATATTTATTAAGCACCTACTATATGCTAGCAGTGTTCTAGGTACTGAGGAAATAGTAATGAGTAAACCAGAGTCCCTGCTGTAATGTTTATTCTTATGGAGGAAGAAAATAAGGAAAACAGACAGTTTCAGGTAGTGACAAATATGAAGAATATAAAAGTGTACTGTAATGGAGAATAATGGGGTTGGGTGGCATAGTCTAGATAGAGTGAGCAGGTCACATTTCAGCTAAAGCCAGTCATGGAAAGCTCTTCGCTGGGGAGAGATCCAGCCAAGACAACCGAAAGTGCTAGGACCCTAAAGCAGAAACACTGTGGCAATTCCGTGACCAGAAAAACCAGAGGAGGGGCCGATCACATATGCCATGAGAACAGGGGTTTTTTTGTCTTTTGGTACCAGGGATCGAACTCGGATCCTTGTGCTTGCGAGGCAGGCGATGGAACCACTGAGCTAAATCTCCGGCCCCGTTTTGATTTTATTCTAACTGCAGCCTGAAGCCTGATTTATATTGTTTGTGTCTTTTGCAGTACGAGGTATGGAACCCAGGGCCTTCCGCATGGTAGAGCAACAGCTCTACCACTGAGCTACATCCCTAGCGTGACTTAGGATTTTAAAGGACAGAGCTGGCTTCCCTGGGAGAAGTTGAAATCTACTATATTCATAATCTAAAATACTTGTCATCAACAGTAAGATCCTGTCTCAAAAAAACAAAAAAGCAAAACCAAAACAAAGTACTTGTCATCAACTAGTTGCATCCCGGGATACCTCCTGTCAAAGGGGAAACCTCCCAGGGACGCTCTAGCCCTCGGATCAGTGGCACGAACGCTTAACATTCTGTGGTACTTTTAGAGAAGTCTGTCGCTTCCGGGAGCAGTCGCGTAGCCCGGCACTTCCTCTCTATCCGACGCTGTCTCTGTGGTCGCCGGGGCCCCGCCCCTCCCTGGGACTGTCCTGAAGCTCAGTGGACTCTGCCCGGGCTGGACCGCGGGCGTCCGCGCTCTGGTGTAGGTCGGAACTCGGGTCATGGCAGTTCCAAGGCCCGCTCCCAGAACTGGCGCCAGGTGAGCAGGGCGGCCGGCGAGGAGGGCCGGAATAGAGGGTCGTATTCCTGGGGCTGTGGGAGAGGGCTGCTGCACTCCACGCGTCTGGCGCCCTGAACTGTCCAGTTATGGTATCGTCTACGCAAAAGAGGAGCTAGCGAAGGGGCGCCCACCCTCCGCTTGGGTCCCAGGCCGCCGGCACTCCGCTGTGGGACCTTTCCCCTCGCAACTGGCCACCTTTTTATTTGTTGTTGGCTTGCTTGCTTTAGAACCTCAAGTGCACAGAATTCGGTTGATGATCATTGTCAATTCTTGTCACCGCCTGGGCTCCTCTTTTATTACCTTTCTCCCTTGTATACTATTCTCAGTGCCATTTCATTCCTAGGACACCCACTCTTGTACTAATTATTACAGTGATTTTGAATTAATATAAATAATAAGATGCTTTTTTAAAAAAACTTTGTGTGTGTGTGTGTGTGTGTAGTACAGGAGATTGAACGCAGGGCCTCCCCCTGAGCTACATCTCTAGCTCTTTTTAATTCTTTGTGTTTATTTATTTATTTTTGGTACCGAGGATTGAACTCGGGACCTTGCGCTTTCGAGGCAAGCGCCTGAACCACTGAGCTAAATCCCCGGCTGTATGTATTTATGTTTGAGACAGAGTCTCAATAAGTTGCCTGGGGTGGGCTCAAACTTTCCACCTCATCCTTTCAGAGTGCTGGGATTACAGGAGTGCACCATCACTCCCATTTTTTTTTAAAAAAAACTTTTTTTTACCTAGCATTGTCTTTTGGAAACCATCCATGCTATGAGTTTTCACTTGTAAGTACTGCATGATGTTACCCTGGGTGCATAGAACCTGTTTTATTTATTCATATCCTTAGCGATGGGCACCTAGACTGCTTCCAGTATTTTAATGATCACAGACAAGGCTGTAATGAGTACTCTGGCAGAATACTGATGATTTTCTCTGAGTTATTCACTCCAGAGTAAGATGGTAGCCCATACCTAATTCTGCTAGATTGTCCTCTGGTGGCACAGCAGTGCATAAAGGTTCCTATTTCCCCATTTCCCTGACATTTGGTGTTGAGTAGGCTTATCAGTCTGATAGATGTAAGGTGCTATCCCATTGTGTCAATTTTTTTTTTTTTTTTTGGTACCTGGGATCGAATTTGGGACCTTGCACTTGCGAGGCAGGCGGTGGCACCACTGAGCTAAATCCATGGCCCCATTGTGTTAATTTTAATGCATTTACTTTATTAGGAATGTTGGTTATTCCTTTTGTGAATTGCCTATTTATATCCTCCACTTCTCTATGGATTTCCTGAATTCTTTACAGGAATTCCTTGCCTGCTCTAGATTCTACTTCTTTGTTGGTTTTACTCTCTCCAGCTCTTCTAACTAAAATCTATGGTCCTGTGTTAAACAAAAATATTGCATTCTAATTACATTAAATCCATCAATATTTCCCTTTATAGTTTGTGGGTTTGGGATCTTATTTAATAAGGGCTTTCCCACTTGAATGTCATTAAGGTGCCTTTATGATGGTTTTTCTTTATTTCCTTCTGTTAATAGAATGTCACATGTTAATGTCACTTTTCACACCGGGATCTATTCTTAGTAGTGGACTGGTCCCAGGAAGGAACAATGTAGATAAGTTTGATAACTGCTAAAGCTTAACTGCCCTTGGGGCTCCTCTCTGCTTCCTGACTTTTCTTCAGGCCCAAGTTAGATCTGCAATTTCTCCAGCGGTTCCTGAGGATACAGAAGGTCTTGTTTCCTTCTTGGTCATCACAGAATGTCTTGATGTTCCTGACTCTCTTGTGTGTGGCTCTGCTGGGTGAGTGAGCGAGCCCTGGGCTTTGGTGAGGGAAGTCGAGCCCTGCTTTTGAGTCTTTGTCCTTCTCTCTGGGGTGTTGATGAGGCAGGGGCTCAGGAAGCTTCCTTCCTTTTCCTTTACCACTGATTTCTCATCTCCCTCCTGCAGAACAATTGGTGATCTACCAGGTTGGCTTGGTCCCCAGTCAGTACTATGGTGTCCTGGGAAATAAAGACTTGGATGGGTTTAAGGCGCTGACATTCCTGGCTGTCGTGCTCATCGTTCTCAACTCCACAGTAAGGGTTTTTCTTTTGTCTGTCTCTTCCTCCTGTCCGGGGTGAGTGGAGTGCCCAGTAGGACTTATCCTCCAGGAAGCAGGAACCAAGCTGTTAGGTGTGTGTTCCTTTTCTAGGAACCAGAGGGATGGTTGCCCTGCAGTTCAGAAACCTGGGCAGGGATTGATCTCATTATTGGCCCACTTGGGACCAATTTCTCAGGTATTTTAAACCCAGAGTGAGGCCACAAGGTCCTGGTTTAATTCAGCATTTAGTGGAAATGGTCATTGTCCCTGCTGTTCCTAGAACTCTTGCTTCAGGGAGCCCAAAGAGCTTTAAAACCAGGATTCACAGCCAGAAACTGCTGCAGCTCCTCTGGCACCTGCGGCTGTGACTTAGCCCGGCACCGCGTCACACCCAGCCCTTGCACCTGCTGCTTTCTTGCAGAATGGCTCCCTTCTCCCACCCCTTGCTCAGTTGGCTAAAGCCTGCTCGTTTTTTTCAAGATGCCTCCCTGGTCACTTCTTTCAAGTCCTTTCTTCTTCATGTTTCCTCCACCAGACTCATCCCCTTTACTATACTTAACTAATTCTGTGAGTAGACCTTGGCTGTCGCAGTCCTTACACCCTCATCATTGTCAGCTCCCTGGCTGGCCTGTGGGCTCATTGTTATTTCCCAACTGTTTAGTACAGAAAAGCACTTCACAAATAGCAAATGCTGAGTTGAGGCAGTGTCAGAACCCAACCTAACGTTCCCTGTCAGCCAGACTAGCTGTTTTCTAGGAAAGCCACTCCTCGCCACACTGTGGCACTTGATGGGCCTTCATTCAGTAAGCACCTAGGTAGAGGCATCCTTTTCTACACTTGGGGATAGCGGTGTGCTCCCCAATCTCCAGAAACTCCTCTGCTCTCAGTGTGCCACAGTACAGTGTCACAAGGCCTTGAGGGTCTTGCCTTTGGTGAGCCCTTCAAGATTCTGTGAAAGAATAAACATAGGAGTGAATGAGGAAGGAAAAATCCTGTGACTCGAGGCTTTCAACCGGGAAAGTGCTGAGCAGTCAGAGTGGGCTGGACCTCATCAGCAGAGGTTTCTACCAGCCCTGAGCTTTGAACCAAGACTTGGCAGGAAGCCATCTCTCCCTTCCTCCCTTCTCCTTGCCTCCTCCACTGCACAGCTGAAGAGCTTTGACCAGTTCATCTCCAGCCTGCTGTACGTGAGCTGGAGGAAGGACCTCACCGAGCACCTGCACCGCCTCTACTTCCGGGCCCGTGTGTACTACACCCTCAACGTGCTACGGGATGACATCGACAATCCGTAGGCGCCCCCTCGGTCCTCACTGTCCTTCACAAACTGGTCCATCAGGCCTTGTCCTGGAGAGTCCTGGCTGCAGACCCCACAGAGATCATGCACAGTGGGCAAAGGCTGCTGCCCCAAGCTCTGTGTGTGGGGGGGGGGGGTTGCTCTGCAGGAAGTCATGGACAGGCTGAGAATAGGAAACCAAAGAGAAGAGCCAAGAAGCAGCTCCTTTTTGTCTGTTTCATACCCTGTGCTTCCAAATAAGGCAAATGAACAAAATATCCTTGTTTAAAAAAAACTCGTGAATTTTTAGTAGCCAAGAAAAGGTTGCTGTTGTCTAAGATTCAGTCCGGGGTTCGTATCCCTATTGTCACCTCCGAGCTTCTAGCTCTTACGTTCATTCACTAAGCCCTGGGTTCCCTTTCTATAAAATGAAGATAGTAATAGCTCCTATCTCAAAGAATGGAATGAGGGTGAAATGGTACAATGCATGTAACATGCAGTGCCATACATTGCAGGTGTTTCGGTGTAAGTTGTTATTCTGTGGGTCAGGAAACTGAGGTCTCAGAACCGAAAGCACCCAGGGTCACTTCTCTCTTTGAGAATAGGAGTCAGTGTGGCCATGGTGGTGAGAAGGGGCCTAGGGGGCCTTTCCCTCACTCCCATCCCTTCCCCACTCACCACACCTGTAGGAAGCGCTTGCTGCCAGGGCAACCTTTCTTCACCTCACATTGAGCTCTGCTGCTTAGGTGCTAGGAAAGCTGCCTCCACTCTGCCCACCTTGGCCTCTTCCTGATGGCTCGACCCGGCTAAGGCTTTCATAGCCAGAAGCTGTACTGGGAGGCTCAGGCCCATAGAGAGTTTGAGGAGGGTTGAGCTAAAAGGTTCATGCTCCTGATCACCCAGAAAGGCAGCTCCTCTACTCCCAAGTTCCCTTTGGCTCTGCTCAGAGCTGGCTCAGGCTTCTGGGTCTTTGAGTTCTACTTTTTCAAGGGGCAAACTGAGGCACCAATATGAAGCAACTGTCTAGATCCCCATTTAGAGGCCCTAAGGATTCAGTTTCTTCTAGGAACCCTTCCATGGCTAGTGCATCTTCCAGTAGGGTCATTGCTGAGGGCACTGAAAGGCGAGGTTGGGAGAGGGCAACGCATCTTGTCACATTCCTCCCCAAAGCCCTGCTCACTGATGAGTTCCTCTGTGTCATTGGCTGCAGGGACCAGCGCATCAGCCAGGATGTGGAGCGGCTCTGCCGGCAGCTCAGCAGCATGGCCAGCAAGCTGATCATCTCCCCTTTCACCCTCATTTACTACACTTTCCAGTGCTTCCAGAGGTACAGCCCCTCCCCCTCCCAGGTGCCTTCCTTTTCCCCAGCCTGGTGTTTTTTCCTGAGTCTCACAGAGGTCAGGTCAGGGTCCAAGAGAAGCGTCTTGTTCCTCCCCCTGTCTGCACCTCAGGGAGTCTTCTAGCTCATGTGCTAGACCCCTGCCCTCCCTGGCCACGTGGTTTTTCAGAATCACAGGGATCCTGGCAGTCTTGACAGTTCACATGGGAGCAGAGGGCCATGGGGCTGCTGAAGTTGGACAGGGGCTAGCTGAGAAGGGGCAGAGGCAGGGCTGAGGTCTGTGAGGTTCCCTGGTGCCCCACACCCTTCTCTGCCTTCTCTCTCACTCCACCTTTCAGCACAGGCTGGCTTGGGCCTATGAGCATCTTTGGGTATTTCATCCTGGGAACCATAGTGAACAAGACTTTGATGGGGCCCATCGTGGCAAAGCTGATGCAGCAGGAAAAGCTGGAGGGAGATTTTAGGTATGTGCCTTGCCTAAGGTTTCTTGTTGTTTTTTGAGACAAGGTCTGACTATGTAGTTCAGGTTGGGCTCACTATGTACCCCAGGCTGGGCTCAAACTCATGATGATCCTCCTGCCTCAACCTCTCAAGTGCTGAGATTACAGATGTGCACCACCATGCCCAGCCTTACTTGAGGTTTCTGGGCTGAGCATGGTTAAAGGATGGGAACCAGAATAAGGCTGCCTTAGCTCAAATCCCAGTTGGCCAGTTACTAGCTGTATGATCTTAGGTGAGATCTTTCGCCCCATAAATTTCAGTTCTGTCATCTAAAGTAGGATAGTTCAGTTGCCATCTGAGAGAACTAAAGAAATTATACATGAGAAGCACAGAGCAATGTCTTGTTGGCCATCATCAATGTCATTATCATCCGTTAGCCTTCTCGACTGCTTGTTTGTTTGTTTGTTTTTTGGTACAGGGGATCAACCTTAGCACCTTGTGCTTGAGAAGCAGGTGTGGTGCCACTGAGCTAAATCCCAGGCCCTGTTTGTTTTGTTTTTGAGACGGGGTCTCCCTATGTAGCTCAGGCTGGTCCTGAACTCACTATGTAGCCCAGGCTGGCCTCGAACTGGAGGCAATCCTTCTCCCTAGCATCCTCAAATGCTAGGATCATAGGAGTGTGGTACCATACCCGGCCTCTCACCTACTTCTGGTCCAACCACCTTTTTTTTTTTTTTGGTACCGGGCATTGAACTTGGGTCCTTGTGCTTGCGCAGCAGGTGACAAAACCACTGAGCTAAATCCCCAGCCCTTAGATTTTGGGGGGGGGCTACCGGGGATCGAACTCGGGTTCTTGAGCTTGGAAGGCAGGCGGCGGAACCACTGAACTAAATCCCCAGCCCCAACCACCCTTACTTGGGTCTGTTGGACCTGGCAGCTGATTGATGTGGCAACTTCTCTACCTGCTTCTTGGCCTCTCCTTCAGGGTGGGCCTGGGGGAGGAGGTGCTGTGGACAGGAGAGCCCCTGTCTGCAGAAGGCTGCCACCCAACCCAGGTCCTGGGATTTTCCACCCCTGAGACAGTTCAGGGAAGGGTGGCAGAGACCGTTGGAGTGTTGAGTTAGAGCTGTGCCCAGGCATTAGAGAGGTGAGGTTTCCTCTTGGTCCTGGGCTCCTCACTGTCAGCACAAACTTCCCTTCTCCCTGCCCAGGTTCAAGCACATGCAGATTCGGGTGAATGCTGAGCCTGCTGCTTTCTACAGGTGAGTCTGCCGGAGATGACCCTCTCCCGGCTGGCAGAGCTGATAGCAGAGAAAGAGAGATGAAGTCTACATCCTTCTTGGCATCACACACTTAGGCTGAGCATTGTCACGCTTGGCTGTGACCCTTTCCCCCTCACTGTCCCTGTTGATTTGTTTCTGGAGCTAGTGGCTCCTTGCAGTGGCCAGCTTTAGGCTTAGTGGGCTACCATGCAGCCTGCAGTGGCCAAAGAACAAAATGAGAAAGTGCTTCTTCTTGCTGATGACTGGAAAGCATCACCTCTGCCTCTGTCTGCCTGTCTGTGAAATAGCTGTCTTGCCAGTGCCTGGCATTCAAGGCTGATTCTTTGTGCCTCGGTGGCATGGGTGGGAATGGCTGTGTCCCAAGGCCATCCAGTGGAACCTGTGCCAGGGCTCCTGTTGGCAGTGTTGTGAAATATCCAGGGCCAAAGCAGGTCCCTGTGCTCTACCTGTGTGGGGCCTCCTGGTCAGCATGGGCACTCATGGTACAGGTCTTAGGGCTTTGTGGTTAAGTTGTGCTACTCCTTGGATCCCCTTTCTTGGGTCATTTGCTCTTCTGTCTTCTCTGCTGCAGTTTGCAACCACCACCACTTGGGGGCACTAGGAATCTGAGCAGGTCCTGGGTGATGGGTAGGCAGGGCTTGGCAGAGGGCTTTGCTTTTGGATTCTGCAGCTCACCAAGCTCTAAGAAAGACAGATTAGTTCTTGGAGCTCCAGACCGGGTCTTGGGCAGCCTCTGCAAAATTTGAAATGCACCCTCATCCTCCACCTTTGCCTGGAGAATTTGTGCCTATCTTTGTGGCCTCGTCACCTCCTCTGGGGAGCTTTCTCAGACTCACTTAGTGGGAGCAGTCAGGTCTGTTTGTTGCCATATCCCTGAGGACATACTTGACCCTGCACATTCCTGGTGAAGAGCGCAGTATGTCCGCCTGCCCTCTGAACTGGGGGCTCCACCAGGACAGGATCTACTTATCTACCCCTCAATGACTCACAAAGAGCCTGGCAGTAGTGACTGCTCCATTGTGTTTGATTAATAGCAGCTCTTGTTTATTGAAGGTTCCTTATGTGTCTGGTTCTTTATATTCAAAATCTTTTTTGTGTGTGTGGCACTGGGAGTTAAACCCAGGACCTTCACACTGAGCTACATCCCCAGCCCTTTTTTGAGACAGGTTCTTGCTAAGTCATTTAGTTGTGGAAGCTGGGAACTTGGTGATTCTCCTGCCTCCACCTCCCAGAATGCTGGAATTATAGGCACGCACCATCATACCCAGCCATTTTTTGGTTCTTTGAGACAGATCTTGCAGTGCAGCCCAAACTGGCCTTGAATTCACCATCTTTTTGCCTTTGCCTCTCAAGCATTGAGAGTCCAGATGTACACCACCATGCCCAGCTTATATTCAGAAACTCATAATTACTAATTTATTACATAGATATTCTTCGCTCCACTTTACAGATGAGAAAAACTAAAGCATTAGATGTTTAAGTAACCTGCCAGTGTCACTCAGCTAGAAACTGGTCAGAGCCAGGATTTGAACCAGGTCTGGCTAAGTCTAGAGTTCATTCTCTTCCCACAGACAATACCAAGAGGAATAACAGCAGTGAAGCGCTAGTGCCAGAAAGGGTCTGAGGCTAAGGTCATTTGGGTGGGCCTGATGAGGAGTGGGGGCCCCCACCCTGCTGAGTCCTCTCAGGCCCCACGGACATCCCAGCCTTTCTTGTCAGAGCCGGGCATGTGGAGCACATGAGGACAGACCGCAGGCTTCAGAGACTCCTTCAGACCCAGAGGGAGCTGATGTCCAAGGAGCTCTGGCTGTACAGTAGGCAGAGGGGCCCCCGGAGGTGGGGACCATGGGATGCAGTTGGTCCACTTTTCTCCCACTGCCTCCCCTGATGAGTTGGCCCTGGTGATGGAATTAACCAGGAGAGCCACTGCTTTCGCATGTCTTTGTCCTTGGGAGATTGAAGACCAAGGGAAGCATGGCCCTGCTTGGCTTCCTGTTCCTCAAGGGTTGGGTCCCCTGCAGAGTACTCGCGTGGCCCCTGGGTCTCATGCAGTCTGTCTCCTGCAGTTGGTGTCAACACCTTTGACTATATGGGCAGCGTCCTGAGTTACATTGTCATCTCAATCCCCATTTTCAGCGGGGTCTATGGAGACTTGAGCCCCACCGAGCTTAGCACCCTGGTCAGCAAGGTAGGAGTCCCTCCTGCTGTCACCTCCTACTGCCTCACTGCCCAGGGCCTTGGGGTCCAGGTTGTGCTGACTGCTCTCTGTCCCGTCCAGAATGCATTCGTGTGCATCTACCTCATCAGCTGTTTCACCAAGCTCATTGACCTCTCCACCACACTCTCGGACGTGGCTGGTTACACGCACAGGTGAGGCTGCGGCCCTGAACAGGATGCACACAGAAAGAAGCAGCAGGTGGAAAAAGGAACAGAGACTCAGCACGTGCGAGTGGGTTTGAAACGGAAAGCAGTGTGGCTATCATCTCATGCCCGGTCCTACCTCAGCCTCTCACTTCTTACCCAGGCTTGGGGAGCTGCAGGAGGCCCTGCTGGACATTTTCCTGACATCGCAGGACTGTGAGAGTGAGCAGGGCTTGGACAGGTGAGTGTGGGGCTGCAGTGCAGGGCAGGGTGAGGATGCAGCTGAGCTCGCCTTGGAGCCTTGTCCCTCCCTCCCGCTGGGTGGCAGAGGTGCCAGGAGGGCACCTTGTCACCAGCACCCTCGCTGTTCTGACACCCATTGTGATTTACCTCATCCCCCGGCTAGTGGAAACAACATGCACACACCTGCTGGGCCCCGTAACAAAACAGAGGACTGGCTAGTACCTTCCTCATCCTTTGCCTCTTCTGCCTAGCCTCTCTCAGACCTACAGATGTCTTTATTTCTGTATTTGTAGGGATCAGGAATGTTTCTGACTTTCCTGTACTTTCAAGGTTTATTTCATCTTCTCACTTTACTTAAGCAAATCACTTATCTGTCCCATGTCACCATTTCTTCATCTCTAAAAGGGATATGAAGCCAGGCATAGTGGCACATACCTATAATCCCAGCACTCAGGAGGCTGAGGCAGCCCAGCTTGAACTACATAGCAAGACCTTGTCTCCAAAAAAAATCAAAACTTTTTTTTCAGTACCGGGGATCCAACCCAGGACCTTGTACTTGCCAGACAGGCGTGGTACCACTGAGCTTCGTCCCTGGCCCAATTAAAACTTTTTAAAAGTGGATATAAACAGAATTCTCCTTCTATGTGGTTGTAAGGATTAGATTCCATAGTTCTTGGAAAGTACATGGATAGCAGCAACATACTAAGCTTTCAAAAATTGAAATAGTCTGAATTTCAGGGCCTGTGGTCATCTCTCTTCCTAGGAACAAATGCCTTAACACTTTTTCTGTTTTTGTTTTTTTGGTTTTTTTGTTTGAGACAAGGTCTTGTTATTAGTTCAGGCTGGCTCGAACTCAGGGCAATCCTCCTGCCTCAGCATCCCGAGTGCTGTGATTACAGGACTGTGCCACCAGGCCCGGCTCAAATGCCTTAACACTTGCCCTGTGCAAAAGGACACTTCATGTCCCTGTGGGCCCAGAGGCTGGGGATGGCACTGGGACTGCAGGAAACTGGTTGCTGTTCTGTGTGAGAGACAGGCATCTGCAGGGAGTCAGGAGCTCCTGCGCTAAAGCCCGAACACTCCTATCTGGGGCTGAGGATTTAGTTCAGTGGTTCCGGTGCCTGCCGAGAAAGCACAAGGTCCGGAGTTCGATCCCCAGTACCAAAAAAAACCACAAAAAACCCCAAACCAAACACTCCTGTCTTCCAAACAACACCCACTGACATTGGAATTAGATAGTGTTGTGATCTTGGGCAAGTTACTTAGCCTCCTGATAGGATTTCTTCATCTGCCAAGTGACGAGAATGTCCTTCATGGGTGTTGAGACTAATTGAAATTTGCTACAAGCCAGCCATGGTGACATGTGCCTGTGATGCCAGGTACTTAGGAGGCTAAGGCAGGAGGATTGTGAATTTGAGGCCAGCCTTGGCAACATGGCACAGCCCTGTCTTATAAGAAAAATAAGGGGCTGACAGTGTAGGTCAGGGATAGAGCACATGCTTGGGGCTCTGTGTTCAATTACTAGCACCATAAGAAAAAGAAAAGGAAAACAATCAGTCACATACAGAGCTTTGCACAGTGGATCAGAGTCAGTGCCCACACCTCCGTCCCGGTGTCAATGGGCTCAGGCTACCAGGACAAGGCACTACAGAGTGAGCGGCCTAAGGAACAGAAATTAATTTTCTGGCAGTTCTGGAGGTTAGAAATCCAAAGTCAAGTTGTTGGCAGGGTTAGTTCCCCAGAGGCCTCTCCTTGGCTCACAGAGGCTCACCTTCTTGCTTGTGCTCACATGGCCTGTTCTCTGTGCGTGCTCTGTCCCTTGAGTCCACCTGACAGCTCATTATAACATCACCTCTTTAAAGGCCTGGTCTCCTCATGCAGTTACATTCTGAGGTACCAGGGCCTAGGATGTCATATGGATTTGAGGGCAGAGTACAGGCCGTAAACCCGCGACCTCAGCCAGAGGTGATGTTTCTGGTCGAAGCACCTCCCCAGACAGTGCTCACACCGCTCCCTTCTCTTTCCCAGGGCCCCAGGATGGCCGGCGCCCGAGGCCTCGGACACAGCTTTTCTCCTAGAGCGGGTCTGCATCTCGGCCCCCTCCTCTGACAAACCCCTGGTCAAGGACCTGACCCTGAAGATCTGCGAGGGGCAGAGTCTGCTCATCACGGGCAACACGGGCACCGGCAAGACCTCCTTGCTGCGGGTTCTGGGCAGCCTCTGGGCCAGCACCCGGGGTGAGAGCTGGGCCCTCCCTGCACCTGACCCAGCCTTGGCCCTGGGGTTGGCAATGTGGCGGGTTCCAGCCTTCTTAGCTGGGGAAAGAGTGAGAGGTGGGGAGGAGAGGTGGTGCAGCACCTCCTCTGTGAGATCTCAAAGCAGAGGCTTCTGTGGGCTCTGCAGGCTCCGTGCAGATGTTGACCGACTTTGGGCCCCATGGGGTACTGTTCCTGCCACAAAAGCCATTCTTCACTGACGGGACCCTCCGGGAGCAGGTCAGCCGGGTTAGGGGCCCACTATCCTCCTCACTTACTCACGCACAGCCAGGCCCTCCAGCACCTGGCAGGTCGCAGGGCCTGGGGAGTTCTGGGGCAGACGGTGGGGTCATAAGATGGCCATGCCCAAGAAGCTATGGGCTCTGAGGAAATTCTGTTCAACATTCATGGATTGGACTCCTGTACTCAGAGCAACTCCTGGGTGCAGGTAAATCTGTGGGGGCTGCTGGCCAGTTACTCACTTGTTTGCTGAGCAGCAAGGTTGAATTCTGGGCCCTTTCCCCAGGAAGCTCACACACTTATCCCCCAATATTTCTGAAGGTTCCAGTTTCCTGCCCCACTCTGCACTCTGAGTCTCTCCTCCCAGACCCTCGGGCCAGGGTGTCCCTATTCCCCCCAGGTGGACAGGAGACTGTCCTCTCCGGGCAGTTCCGGGGGTCTGTGAGGAAGGGCCATTGTACAGCTCTGCCTCTCCTTAGCCCTCATCCTAGGCGGTGTGGTTTGTGCTTTTAGGTGATCTATCCCCTGAAGGAGATCTACCCGGACTCAGGTGAGCCTCCTTGGGTCATATCGTCCCTTCTATCTGTTGTCCCTGCTCTGCCTGACTGTGACCTCACTTGTGCTCTTACTGTTTTGGGGTTCATGCTATGACCTCACCTTGTTTTTGTCTTCCCCTCCCAGGGAAGAAACACCCATTGAAGGAAGTGATTACTTCTTTCACCTGGTCCTTCCTTCCCTTATCAAGTGCAGTCACTGTCACCTGAGCCACAGCCCAGCATTCTGGGGCGTCCACCCTAGCCGTTCTATACCCCTTCTATTCTGACCCCCCAGAGGAGCTGACAGCTGAAGACGCCTTCTGTGCTTTGCAGGTTCTACTGATGATGAAAGGATCCTGAGGTTCTTGGAATTGGCAGGCCTGGTAAGGAGGATAGGGCCCCTGTGTCTAGGTGGGAGCACTGACTGCAGGCAGATCCTGGGCCAGCAGAGCCAGGCCCTGCCACCTCCGGGCCCAGGACTGGGGTGGTGAGCAGGACCACACACTGGCAGTGGGAGCCATTGGCCAGGAGCAGGAGTAAGGGGGTGTGCTTTCTCTAGAGAAGTTTAGAGCAGTAATGAAACTAAGTCTGTGTGCTTTTTACCATCACCATGCTCCCACAGAATGAACGAATGTAGTTGATACCCAATTTGGCCTGCCTTTGTGGTGTCTGTCTCCGAAGCTTTTCTGTCATGGGGACTAAGGGCAGGAAGCAGGGATGAGCCCTTTCATGGATCTTGTGCCCTCTGGGTCTGTTACAGTCCAGCTTGGTGGCAAGGACAGAGGGTCTGGACCAGCAGGTGGATTGGAACTGGTAAGAATGGAATTCGGGGGCCCCGGCCAGCTCCCCCATGAAGACAGTGGGTCCCAGGGGTCCTGTCAAGGGATGGAATGGCTCCTGACCCTAAAGGCCAAGTGTTTAGTTGGGTCCATCAGCACACGTTTTATGCCCTTGGGAGCAGAGTTTGGGCCTCCTCTGGTGGGGGCAGCAGAGCTGTGGCCATGAGTGGAACCACCTGTCTGGCACAGAGGTGGGGTGGGTGTCAACCTCCACAGAGAGAACACCTTTTTGCTCAACTTTACAAAAGCCATCTGTCGCCTCCTTCCTCCAGTGTTCATCTCGAGGTCCCTTCCCTAGGTACGATGTCCTGTCCCCAGGGGAGATGCAAAGGCTCTCTTTTGCTCGACTCTTCTACCTGCAGCCAAAGTATGCAGGTGAGGTCCAGACCAAGAGTGTGCATGCTGGGCACTGCTGCACTCACAGAGGAGCCCTGGGTGGTGCAGAACCAGACAGAGGGTTCCTGCTGTGGCAGCAGCTGGAGCCCAGAGCCAGCCATGTGTGCGGTTGTGATTTAGCTTCTTGGACAGTCAAATGAGTGTGTGTCAACCCAGCAATGCCTGGCCAAGGGGTGCAAGCTGTGGGCTTTGGGGAGGAACTGGGTGTCCCTAGATTGAGCAGTCCTAGGGAGCAGTGGTGCTTACTTCTATGAAGCTGAGGGACTTTGGCCCAGCTCACAGGAGCATCCCCAGCTGGCCCTCAGTTTCCTGGCCCATCTTCTGCTGGAGGCTGGGTTCCTGGAAGCCAGAGCAGCTTTCAGCTTCCCTTGTGCCCAGTCAAGTTTAGGGTTGGTTGGAGGAGAAGCCTAGGGGCAGGGCCAGACTTTGATCCCTTCCCTCAGTGCTTGATGAAGCCACCAGCGCCCTGACGGAGGAGGTTGAGAGTGAGCTCTACCACATCGGCCAGCAGCTAGGGATGACGTTCATCAGCGTGGGACATCGGCCCAGCCTGGAGAAGGTACCCCGCCCATGAGGACAAGAAACACCCTAAAGGCTGAGCCAGAGTTTCCTCAACATCGGGAGTCTGATGGCAGAGGAAACAGGATGTCTCCTGCTCTGGTGGCTAGGCAACCTGATCATTGTGTGTCGGTGTCTCTCATAGTTTCACTCCTGGGTTCTGAAACTCTGTGGAGGAGGAAGATGGGAGCTGACAAGAATCAAAGTGGAGTGAAGTGAGGACGTGGATGGAGCTGAACTCAGGACAGACCCTCTGTCCCCGGGGAGACCAGGAGCACTGATGGGCAAGACCGACGCAGGGCCACTTCACAGGGCCTCTGCAGGAGCCCTGGCAGTGGCAGGCCCCCCAGGAGTGGCCCACAGGTGACACTGAGATCTCCTCAGGGCTGCTCTTGGGCCTCCACCAGGGCCTCCACATGCCAGAAGTGCCGATTACTTACAAACTACTTCAGATTGTATTTGTTGAAGAAAAATCCAGACATGTGCAAGCTATAGGAAATGAAGGGTCAGGATGGAAAGGATACCGGACCTGGAGTCAAGAGAGCCAGTGAAATTTTGCTACAATAGAATTTTTTTTTTTTTTTTTTGGTACCAGGGATTGAACTCGGGTTCTTGCACTTGCACAGGAAACGGCGAAACCACTGAGTTAAATCCCTGGCCCTACAATAAATTTTTAACTTTAATTAACTGACCACTTAATTTTATAACTTTTTTAAAAAGAAAAACATTTTTTAAAAGTTTTTGTATCTTTTGCTCTTTCTCTGCCTTCTCTACCATAGAACGATCTTTTTATTGATGCTCAGACTTGGCTCTGAGAGGGAAGGGAGCCCTACTCAGCTGGCCCAGCACCTGCTGCCCATGGCTTTCACCCCACGTTCCCCTCCACTGAAGCCACTAACCTTCAGGGCCCTCCTGGCTTTGTTTTCTTTTTTTTTTTTTTTTTTTGGTACCGGGGATCCAACTCGGGTCCTTGTGCTTGCAAGGCAGGCAGTGGAACCACTGAGCTAAATCCCCGGCCCTAGCTTTGTTTTCTTAACCCAGGTGAAAACAAATCCCTTTATCCTTACCAACTAAAATAAGCTTGAAATTTTTTTCAAAAATATCTATATTTAGGAACAACAAAACCAGGCTTAGTGGTGCATGCCTGTAATCCCAGCACTCGGGAGGCTGAGGCAGGAGGATCACCATGAGTTTGAGCCCAGGCTACATAGTGAGCTCAGAGTCAGCCTGAACTACATAGTGAGACCCTGTCTCAAAAATAAAAACAACTAAACAGGCAAAACCCAGAAAGCACAAAAGCATGAAGTAGAAAGTTACTGACCCAAAAGTTCCTTATTCCAAAACAATGTGTCCAAAGTTTAGTTGTCTACATAATGCCTCCATGATTTTTGCCAGATTTCTGTACTTCTCATACTGTTCTTTACCTAGTATTTTTATACCTCAGCCAGGTAAGATGGCATGTGCATGTAGTTCCACCTACTTTGGAGGCTGAGGCAGGAAGATTGATAGAGCCCACAAGTTCAAGGCAAGCCGAGGCCACAAAAAAAAAGAAGAAAAAAAATCATAACTCATCTTTTTTATTTAAATAGATTTTTTCCCCTAGGGATTAAATCCAAGACCCCCTCCCCCAGCCCTTGAATGGATTTCTTTCTTTTTCTTTTTTTTTTTTTTTTTTTTTGGTACTGGGGATGGAACTCAGGCCCTTGCACTGGCGAAACCACTGAGCTAAATCCCCGGCCCTTGAATGGATTTCTTGAAAGAAACTTTACACTTGACACAAATGGAAAGTAACTGTATTAAAAAAGTGAAAACTAAATACACTTGATCTTAGCCAAAAGGCCAAGAAGCGATGTGAAACTAGAGATATTAAATTACAGCTACCTGTGGCCTGCAAAGACTCAGAGCCTGAGGTTTTCTGTGTAAAGAAAAAGGGGTGCTAAGGTTAAGGGGTGTTAGAGAGGAGTTAGATATATTAATGCCCAACTGAGATCTTTCCCTTTAATAAAACTAAAAAGGTAGAATGTAAATTGCCAGGAAAATAATTTTATCACTGTAAAATTTGAGGTTATTTAGTGGCTGAGCGGTGATCCCAGATGTGAGGGTAGGAGGCCCATACTGGGTGAAATGCTGTCCTGGTTTGCTGAAGTCCCGCCTCATCTCTTGTTCTTCCTTCGGTGCCACCTGAGTTCACACAGGCACCTGGCCAGGTCTGTTGGTGGGCCTAGTCCCTGCTAAGGATGCACAGGATTATAACCTTGGAAAGGCTATGGCAGCCCTTGAGTGGCACTCTCATGGTTGAAAAGCACTTTCAGAGTTGGCATCTGAATTGGTGCTGTAGTACCCATCTGTAATCCCCACTACTCGAGACGCTGAGGCAGGAGGGTTATGAGTTCAAGCCCAGCCTGGGCAGCTTAGAAGACCCTGTCTCTGTGTCCTGCTGACTTTACCCCATCAGTAGGTCTTCCACCCATCCACTCCTCTCCAGGCTTGAATCCCATCTCAGAGAAGGCCAGGGATTTAGCTCAGTGGTGCCACCACCTGCCTTGCAAGTGCAAGGTCCTGAGTTTGATAGACGGTACCAAAAAAACCCCCCAAAACTCTTAAGTCCCACCTCAGAGAAGCCCAGAGGGGAACCAGAAATGTGAGGAAAACTACAGGAGAATCAAAGAGAAGAGAAGACGGGGCTGGGGATTTAGCTCAGTGGTTCCGGTGCCTGCCTCGAAAGTGCAAGGTCACAAGTTCAATCCCCGGCACCAAAAAAAAAAAAAAGAAGAGAAGAGACCCCTGTCATGTTAGCGACTGCGGTGTATCCATTCTATGGACTGGAGCCCAGCTGTGGAAACTGGGGCTACTTTTTGGGATTTTTCATTGAACGTCTGCTGTGTGTGAAGTGCCACAGTGGAGAGCATGATGGGCCTGGGGCCTCCCCTCCTGCAGCTTCCCTGCCCTGTGTGTATTCGGCAGATCTGAAGACCATAAAGCCGCAGGAAGGTGCTTCCTGTTAAACCTCAAGTGGAAGATAGTTACAAAATTCTACATCTGCTGTGGTACTGTGAGCCTCCAGGTGTCTTCAGAATTGAACCATTTGGAGCCAGGTGTGGTAGCACACACCTGTAATCCCAGCTATTCAGGAGGCTGAGGCAGGAGGAAAGCAAATTTAGGCCAGCCTGGAAAACTTAGCAAGACCTTATCTCAAAACTTTAAAAAGGACCAGGGAAAGACCAGGGGTATAGCTCAATGGTAGAGCATTTGTCTAGTGTGTATGAGGCCCTGGATTCAGTCTCCAGTACCACGAAAAAACAAAAACAACCCTCCTGGCATCTCCAAAATGCTAATTCACATACAAAGCCATGGAAGATTATTAACCATTTTGCCAAGGTTTATAAGTTGTGGGAAATTATATTACCTACTGCAAAACAGAGCATCTTTAAATCCCTGTTATCTTATTTTTCTGCCCACAATTTCACTCCTTATGTAGCTGCCCAGGTCTTCTTCCTCTCTCCCTGTCCCGTGTCTCCTCCTCTTTAAACATCTAGGGTACTCCTCTCCCTCCCCTCGCAGACTGGGTGTTGGAGGAGACAACTTGGATAAACTATCTCAGGCAAGACCAGGGTAGGTGGAAAGTGATCTTAGCTTGTGAGCAAAGATCCATAAATGCAGCATCTACAGGGTGGGCACCACAGACATGCAGCTCTAAAAGTTATGGTTCCTCTCACACTCTCAGCACTTCCTAGACATTTTCTCACTTAATCCTCACAGCCAACTTGGCAGAGAGGAAAGGGGTGTGGATGATGGGGCACAAGGCTACCCCGCCAGAGGCTGTGTGGGGTGTCTTTGAGTCTTGTAGAACAAAACACCCCTGGTCCATGCCTGGGGTTTCTACTCAGGGTGGAAGGGTGGGGACTGGGAGGGCAGGCTGGTGACCTGGGCAGTGGGGAAGGAGGCAAAGCCGGAGAGGCTGTGGGCAGAGGAAGGAGGGAGAGATCCTTCCCGTGAGCATAGGATAGGCCACTCTGGGTTACCCCCCTCTGTATTTTGAAGGTAGCAGGGACTGGCAGATAACAAGCCTCTGTTCCTGCCACCTGAAACTGCTGAGTGTTGTGCGCCTGGACAGAACTGAGCTTTGTTCCTGGAAGTTGGAGGACAGCGCCAGTTGCCCTGTGCAGAGGGTGCTTTTCTAGAATCACTGTCCTGTCAGTGCCAAGAGCTCCTGGCCAGTGGCATACCCGGATGTTGGGTAATGGGTGGTCCTGAGCTGAGCCCTGGGGGCAGACAGGAGCCCGCTGGAAGCACAGGCAGGTCCTGGAGAGAAGCTGCCCATTTGTGCGGAGTTTGAAGAGCCTGAGGGAAGCCTAGTTCCTGCCACATTCCCAGGAATGTGTTCCCTCCTATTACCCAGGAAACCTGGCAGGAAGACACTTCCTCTGTTCCCAAGCTGAGATGGCTGAGCTCCAGAAGCGGAAATGGCTTGCTTAGGAGTCTCCAAAGCAGAGCCCCTGGCCCGCAGCCATGCCTTCACCTGCTACATTCATCTTCCCGGGACTCTCAGGGGTCCCCCCTCTCTACCCATCCCATCACTAGGTCCTGTGGGTTCTGCCTCCAAAATACATCTGAGGCCTGAAGCCCACCCCTACTCTTCCTGCCACCACCAAGCTGGCCAGGACAAATATGGTGGCTTCCTCCCTGGCCTCCCTGCGGCTTCTCCCAGCCCCTCACATCTTCCCCAAGCAGCAGGTGAGCTGCTCACTGCGCTCAAGTCCAAAATACTGCAGCTGCAAGGCCTCACCCAGCCCATCTCTCCCCTCTCCCCAGGCCATTGTCCTTCTGCCTTCTGCTGTGGGCCAAGCTGGTCCTGCCTCAGAGCCTTGCGCCTGCTCCCTTTCTCTCACCCCACGTTAGATATTTATACATATTTAATGGGGAGCAAGCCCTGAGAGGAAGTCACATGCTCAAGGTCATTTGGAGCAAAGATTCAAACCAGGTCTGAGACCCAAAGCCAGTGCTGGTAAATAACATCTGGCCTCTTCTCCATCCCTCATCCACCTCACTAAAATCATCTTAGGCTGAGGCTCAGTGAGGAGAGAGAAGATTGCATTGTATTGAGATATCCTGGTGGAGGCTGGCAGAGCAACCTCCCTCCCCCTGTAGCCTACCAGTGGAAACTGAGCCCCAAGGGCACTGAGCCTCATGTCTCTCTGACCCCTGCCATCTCCAGCTGGCCCAGCCAGCAGACAGTGTAGAGGACCAGCAGGACTGACAGACATAGAGCACTGGCCAGGGAGTGCAGTTCAGTGGTAGAGTGCTTTTGTGAGGCTCTGGGCTTCAAACCCAGCAACACACACGCACACCCCACACTGATATGCCTGTATTTCATGTCATGTCTTAGTTATCTCATTCTGCCTTTTCTGTATTGTAAGCTTGGGTGCCTTGTACTTACCTTCTGGTTCTTACTCTCCTAACTAATGGGTTCCTAGTTGGTAGTCAAATGAAACCTCAACAAGAGATGCAGAAAATATTCCTTTTCCCTCCAGAGCTGAAGAAAGGCAGTCACTGTCTGGGGTCAGGAAATGGTCCTTGTACACAGGAAATCCCCTGTGTGTTATTTTTAAACACACCTTGTCAGCAGTGGGTCCCCAGAATTGGCCTGGTGGTAGAATGGGCCTGGTGTGAAGGGCAGCTGCAAGTTGACTGTGTTTGAATCCAGGCTGGCAGTGTTCTGAGCAGCCAGCAGAGCCGACAAACACTCCAGTGGGCAAAATCCTTGATCAGGGTTCTGGAACATCTATATTCATTGAAAAGTGTTTTTACAAAGAGGGTAGCTAGTGCAAGGGCTGTGGCTTGTAATGGGGCCCAGGCTAGAATTGAAATCAGAGAAAGTCTAAACATTACCTGTTTCAAAGTTTTATTCCAAGGGTGTAGATGAGGAATTAACTGCATACGGCTTGGGGATTCAAAGTACCCTGGACTCCTCCAGTCAGAGAACAGGGCTCTGAGAAGCCTTTCATGCTAGGGCATTAGACATACATCTTCAAGAGCAGTAAACTCTAGGCAGCATGGTGGTGCACACCTGTAATCCCAGCACTTGGGAGCCTGAGGCTGGAAGATCACAGGGAGTCGAGGCCAGCCTGGGCTACATAGTAAGTTCAAGGCCAGCTTGAGCTACATAGGAAAACCCTGTCTCAAAAAACAAAACATGAAGAAACTGAAGTACTGTAATAGATATGTCAATTACCCCATCTGATCTTTTGTTGTTGTTTTTGGTACCAGGGATCAAACTCAGGACCTTGTACTTGCCTGGCTATGTAGTTCAGACTGGGCTTGAACTTACTGTGTAGCCTAGGCTGGCCTCAAACTCACAGTGATCCTCCTGC